TACCTAGTGGACATCTTGCCTGAGTAAAACTAGGGTGGCAAGTGCCTTCACCCCAAATGTTTAACAGGGAGGAGAGAGTTAACATTCTTTGCTACACAGAACCCATTCTCATTGACTGTTCTTTGCCATTGATATGTGGAAGACCAAGCAACTGCTTTTGTTGCGTGTTGGCAGACAAGGGGAAATAGTACTTTAAACTCTTTTCTCCATTATGTTTGTGTTTGTAGGTGTGTGTTTCTTGGGTGCAGTATAGCAGCTGTTCACCATTGGTTCCAATCGCGGTTCATCTCTTCCTCTGGTCTGCTGCTGCTGTCATCCTGAATTCTTTGCCACCCTAGTTTTACTCAGGCAAGATGTCCACTAGGTACCCAACAGTTACAGATGTTGGGATTTGATCTGCTGTTGTTGCATTTTCATTATTTGTCACATGAGTCTGAAAGGAGATATGAAGCACAACTGTTTTTATTCACTGGTTGCAGTCTGCCTACCTGCTGCTTTTACACTCCCTGGACCTTGATTGTTTTCCTTGGGGAATTTTTGGGGCCCAGTTCTCTTCTCTTTTGTACTGGTGAAAACCAGGAATAACTGAGAGAACTGATGAAGTTATATTTTGGTTTGTGGGAGGAAGGGGGAAAAATAGGGCTCCCATAGTGGATGGAATACAGCATCAGGCCTCCCACTGAAACCTTTGTTGGGAATGTGCTGCTGTAACGCATGGTTTTAGTTTGACCTTTACTTATAATGCAGGATGTAGCGCTGCCAGACTGAAAAATCTTTTGATGTTTGCTTTGCCCTGTGAAATGTTGGCTGGTCTTGGTTAAACAGAGCTTTCTATCCTAGCTTCAGATGGATCATCAGTCATTTAAGGCTGTTATTTATTCAGTCACCGTTATGTCTTAAAGTTTCTGTTTCTGAATATTATGCCTTAAATCTCTTTAAAATGGCAGTTGGATGAAATGCTGTATATTTAAAATGATGCATGTTCTTGCCTGCCATGACTAACCTTGTAGATTTGGCTTTGGTTTTTACTATTTATATATGCTTGATTTATGTACATTTCTAGAGCAGGTTACGCAGACGGTTTCACTTATATTATTCACCTGCTTCAATATCTGGTTCTGAAGGACTGGCAAATTGCTGGAATACTTGGATCACAAATCCTGCAGGAAAAGGTTTCAATCCAAAGAAAAATAACACAAATTTGCTAAATCATTGATTCTCAACCTTTTTAGACTCAGGGCACCCTGGATAGACTTGAGGTGCTCCTTAGAAAGTGCCAGCTCTAAGGTTTTTTTTTATTTTTTTTATTTTTTTATAACTACAAAACAATAATAGATCAGTTTTTCAGTTGCAAAAGCCTCAGAAAGACCACAGCTATGGATTGCTATTAGAAATCTGTGGGTTTTTCTTATGAATCATGTTTGCACATCTAGCAGTGCTAACATTGTGTGGCACCCCACGGCCCCCTTGAAAGGATCTCAAGGCACCCTATGCTGTTGTAGCACCCTGATTGAGATCACTGTGCTAATTTTTGTTTTCTTATTGCTTCATAAAATTATTGATTTTATTACGTTTTGTAAATCGTTTAGAAAACTAATATTTCTGATAGATTTTCAGAAGGAGTAAGTGCCTAAAAAAACACAGAAGCATATAGTGGGTTATTCAGAAGTGCCCAAACAGATTAGATCCCTATCTCCCATTGAAATTCATGTTGTTTGGTGTCCTAAAATCTTGCCTTGTGAGCTCAAAAATCTCTCATACTCCTGCTTTAAAATGCAGTGTTTTGTATGTGGAAAAACACTTGCTATCAAGAGGAGTTTACATCACTAGGATTTTTTAGTTCAGTCATTTTTATTCAGCTTAAACAAGAATGCTGTGCAGAGAATAAACACATCATTCTTTCCCCACTTGGTGCTAATTAATTTTTTACTAACCTATTCTGGAACCTACTGTATGCACTTCCACCTCTGCTGAAAGCCAAATCATATGCATTACTCATTTCCTGATAAACAGCTATTCTCTGCTCCTTCAAGAAACTGAGAAACAAACACATCATTCCTTTTTGTTCGGGGATTTAAGCAAAACTTTGTACATTTTAAAAGAAATGGAATCCTGTCTGGCCTTGCACAAAGCTGGAAAAAAGAAATTGCAGTAATAAATATTATTGCTTGTGAGCAATGGCACATCTGGTCTAATTTATGTCAGCGTTTGAATTTCACAAGCTGATTTGCAAGTATAAGTAGGATGGGTTATGTTGAATGGACCAAGTGGTTTCTTTTATATCCTTGTAGTTACTGTATTAAAATCTTCTGGGGTTTTTGTGTGTTTGACTTTAATTGTTGGAGTTTTTTCTTTATCTGGTAGGGAATTTTACTTAGAAACCAATTCTGACACCTTTACTGACCTGATAGTCTTAAGAATTTCACCAGGGTGATCTCAGAGTAAACTATTCACAGGGGGCATTTTTCCATTCCAATGAGACCCCTTTATACCACTCCAGCAATACAGAGAGGCCTAAAAGAGAACAAAAAGAGCTTCCTATACTAATAGGCATAATGGATGTAGAGCTGCCAGAGTTCTGTTGTAAGTGCAGATCACTAATGCAATCATTCCAAGGCTCCATCCCACCTCAGTCCCACAGTGCATCTCCGTCATGGCATAGGTGGACTGGCGAATCTACTTTTCTGCTCCCCATTGCACAGGGACAAAGTTTGCCTGGAGCTGCTGACCGTTACAGATAGTGCTGCATACAGTGTGGCATTCACACGTGCACTATTTTCCCCCATCTACTCCATCCTACAATTGGTAGCCAGCCTGTGACAGAAGAGGCCTGGCTGAGAGTCACATGCCAGTATGGGGGTTGAGGTAATCTAGCTCTAGCAGAACTCTAGGACTTGGAAACATTACCAGGGCCCAGAAGAAATCACATGCCTACCTGAGATGGGCATCATTGTGAGACAGAGAACACAGCTTAGAGACAACAGCTCATAGATGAAGTTCTGGGAGGTCACCTTTCTCTTTCCAACTTGGAGGAATCCTGTGCAGCACAGTCTGCTTCCTGAGATCCTTTCTCTTCTCATAGGTTCGCTGGCTCCTTCTGTGCTGTGGGGTGCCCTTTGTCCTGGGCTTCTCTCCCCACAGGTTACAGGTTCCCCTTGTCTTCTCCAGTTTCCTGCTGCCCTTCTCCCTAGGCCAGGCTCTTCTATGCTACCTGCCTTGTGGGTACCTCTGGTCTGCCATGGTTTTCCTTTTTCTTGGGCTCTGTTCTCTGACCTACTGGGAACTCTAGGGTCCCATTTTATTTCCCTGTTTGTGGTCTGATTTCCTGGCATACCCCTTCCATCCTGTACATCACTCCGGAGTTCTTTGTCATTGCCCTTCTCTAGGGTTTCAGCCTTCTCTTCAGGCTGCTTGGACAACTCCCAAACAAGTCCTTCCTTTGTTCTCCTTTAACCACCATGGTTAAAAGAGCTGCAGCCCTTGGCCACACTGCACATCTGAGAGAAGCCAAGAGACGTCATCTATCCCCAACAGTTGGAGAAAGAAAAGCAGAGGGTGCAGAAGGGGCATAGACATTGTCTCCCTGCAACTGGATGCTAGGACTCTCACTGAGAGTTTGAGAGCAGCAGGGCTTCATGCTTTCATCCCTTCTCTGCCTATTTCTAGCCCTGCTCTAAATTTACCTTTTTTTCTTTTTCTTTTTTTTGCCTGAAGCAGGAGGTCATGGCCCCCAGAAGGAAGTCTAGCACTTGCCCTTATTTCTGCACTTAGCCTCCTAGAAGTCTCTGGGGCCTCTTGGTTGTAGTGTAATCCAGCTTGGGAGTCAGTCACGGACTGGTGGTTGGGGCTATGGTGTTCCCCACGTATCCTTTGCCAGGGCTTTGTAATGCAATAGCCAAACCCAGTTGGCAGTTATGCATTGGTATTATGACATCAGACTCATGGTCACCAGTCATTATGGGAGATGTCTGTGTGGGGCTGGGGCAATGTATTAGGGATACATTGAAGGATATAGAGAGTTCCTTGATTGTGTGGGGCTTTTAGCTCCTCTCTCCAGGTAGGGGAGGGGGCCCAGTGCTACAAGGAATGCATAGTAAATCCTCTGGCATTAGGTGTGGGTCCCAGGACTATCAGCAACTTTTCATCACAAGGATTGAGAGGGAATTATCTTTAGACTAAAATCTCCTAGGAAAGCATTCCAGGGAAGAGGGGAATTTTAAAAGGAGGGTGAGAGGGATAGCTGGGGTTTGACCTTTTTACTATGCTTCTTTAGGATGAATAAGGGAAGATGAGAAATGTTTCTGCTTCCTTTTCTATAGAGACAGAGCCGTATTGACATCATGTAGCACAGCATTCCACAGGTTTGGACAAACTGTTTCTTTGGCCCTGTTTGCACCTCAGCAGGTGTAGGCTGATCCCAATTTAAATAGGATACACCTAACTAAGTCTTACCTGGCCTGGTTCTGTGGATGCCTTTCACAGGTTTGTCCATCTCCTCTCACAGATAAGCAGACTGAACCCTTGTCAGGCTCTGCTCAGCATTTCTCCAAGCTCTGGAGCTGTCCCTGCCTCAGGCCTTTGGGTAGGAGGATCATTTGGGGTCACATCCCTTCATTGACAGGTTCTTCCAGAGACAGACTGGAGAACACAGCACTGTCTCTACAGGGAGCTGAAGTGGCTCAGGGCAGTATAATTAATAGGAGGAGGCCAGTGGCACTGAGCAGGTGGGACTCAGGGAGCTGCTAAATTCATCCTCTGCTCCATAAAAGACATGGCTGAACAAAGTCTTTGCACTGATCACCACCCTTTGCTGTAGCCTCTTGGGGAAGCTCTGAGAGGACGGGAACTTAGACCTGTGCCTGCAGATTCTGACCTCACCTTGGCATTTGGTACTTGGAAACTCAGACTCGAACTTGGCATTTCAAAACTCAGACTGGAGCTCGTTAACCCAGACGCTTAGAAACTGAGACCTTTGCCACTTGTCCCAGGGCCTCCTCTTTCCTCAAGCCATGAACTAGCAGAACTGGGGCCAGAACTCAGGATGCCGGGGTTTCCAGAGCCCTTCTTAATAGCCAATATTCCTTCAGCCCTGCAGGGTAGGGTATGAGCTGTTTTTCTGGCAGCCATGAACACTGGCTTGTGATGCTTCTGATTCCTTCTTGTTCCAGTTCATTGCATATGTCTCTCAAGCAGTTGCAGTTGCTTTTGTGATAGTCTCAGATGGACCTCTGTGGCAGGGAGGCCTTCTCTTTAAAAATAGAGCAAATCTGTTTCAGCCTTTAGGAGCCAGCTGTCAAACTGTAAAGGAGAGGCAAGCCTGTACACAACTCTGTCTCACTGTTTCTCAATCAGTGCAGTGGTTCCCAATGCCCAGAAGAGACATAGACTGCAGTCCTTTGCTGGCATTACAGCCTTCTGGTTTGTAGTCCCACCACGTGAAATTCTGTACTGATAGGGGCCACTAACAGTGAGCATTAATAGGGGGTGATGCATGTGCCTCCACCATTCCTTCACTATCCAGATGTGTGTGGGCCTGGGAGATCATAGACTGGAAGGGAGGGGTCACAATCTATTAATAAAGGGAAAAGGAAATAATTTGAGGGGCCAGTGTCCCTTAAAGCTCTAGGACTGAGTCCTTGTCTGCTGTGAACAGGCAGATCTTGGTGGATTCCCATGCGGCTGAACCCATTTATACTAGCTGAGCATTTGTTTTTCAGCACACAAAAACCCAATGTTGGAAGTGTTGCCGTGATGCTACCCTCTTGCTAAAATGATCCTGTCTGTATTGCAGCTGTATGCTAGCTAGTGTGAATAACGACATCCTTCCCACTTTCAGACCTCTACCTGCAGTATCTCATGGGTACCATGTTGTTTCCTTCAAGTCCTAACTGGATTGGTATAATTTTGCTATGCTTTACAAGCGTTCCCAATAAAATATGTAGGAATGGCCATTCAAAGCTAAGACTGCTGAAAATCTTCCTAGGGATATTTGAATTCCCATGGCAGGTACAAGCACTTCTGTATGAAGCTTGCTAATGTAATACAAGTCCTTCTCATAATTGCATGGCCACTGGCCCATTATTATAGTGACTGTGCATTAGGCCTGTGTGAATAGACAGCTATTCAATTCGGCTTCAGATCTGGCTGCTTTGGATGCCAGGGATCCAGTCCGGAGCTCCAGATTGGTTTCCTGCTTCAATTTGGCTGAAGCGGCTCCAAAGCTTCGGAGATCTGGCCATAGGGTGTAATGGGGAATCAATGAAATATCTATAACTTTTTGTTTTTTATCTGATTTGGATAAAACTTGCAGGGGCGGTAGCCTCTGCTGAGAGCATGAAACCTGTCAAGGTTCAAGAAGATCTGTGCAAGGGTTTGAGGGAAACTGTACCCTACATTCTTAAAAGCAAAACTCATGTCACGTGTATGTGTTACACCACAGGGGAGTGAAAATTGCAGAGGTGGTGGCCCCTGCTGAGGCTATGAAGCTTGCCAAGTTTCAAGGAGATAGGTGCAGGGGTTTGGGGGGAACTGCACCTCAAGCTACTGATGCATCAAAGTAATGAGCCAGATCCTTTGTGGATGTAAATCATTACTATGCTATTGAACTTGATGGGGTTATATAGATTTCCGCTAGCTGAGGTTTTAAGCTCAGAGTAATAGCATTCAGGAGCAGTTCTGTGGTGCTAAGTAGCTTTTTCAGTCCCTGCTGCTGCACTGGTAGTGTCCAGTGCACAGAAGGGGGAGATATTGTCACTATAATTGATGTGGCTATGACAAGAAGGTGTTCAGAAGATGGCATGAACAGCTGTACAGTTTTTCTTGTCTGCCTTGGCTGGGACTCAGGCAGTTAAATGTTAGATGCCATACAAACCATTTGACCTGTCAGTTTCGATTAAACACATTCCCACCTGCAAAAATCTGAGCAGTCAAAACAGGGCCTCATATCTGAGTCCCTTGAGGTCCAGTCCTAGGTTCAGAACAAAATTGGGTTGGGTTTCAGATTGGCTCTAGAATGTGCTCTCCCAGTCTGCTTTGAACATGGCCAACGACTCACAGAAACAGCTGTGATCACTCAGTCCAAAATGATGGGAACTATCACTTATAGAAGAGACCCTGCTGACAGCTTCTGGGATGAGCCTGCCCAATTTTAGCACCACTGATGCCAAGCCTAACTACACTGTAACCCAGGGGTGGGGAATTATTTTGGGCGGAGGGCCACTTACCCAGGTTTGGCAGGCTGTAGAGGGCTGCATGGGTAACCCCACCCCTTGATGGGTGCCCTGCCCCTTGACAGGTGCCCCACCCCCTTGTCATCATCTTGGGACCAATGTCCCAGTGGCTTCCATCCCAAGACATTGGGACATTGGTCCCATGTTCCAGGGCCAGCACTGGTGGGGCCCAAAGCGGGACACAGGCTGGCAGGGGTCTGTGGAGCTGGGCTGGGAGAGGGGGAAGCTGTCCCAGCTCCATAGAGCCCCTACCGGCTGGGACCTCACGCTCCTGCCACCCTGCTCTGGGCCCTGCCAGCAATGGCTCTGGGACATTGGTGCAGGCCCCATGCTCCTGCTGGCTCCCTGCCCACTCACAAGCTGGGGGCAGCGCACAGCCTCGACCCCACTGCTTGCTGGCAGGGAAGAAGCTGGTGTGGAGTGCAAGGAAAAGTGGCCCCTCCCCCATCCTGTGGCTGGCGCTCCCTGCTGCAGCTGCTCACAGCCCACACGGGGCTGTCCTGAGCAGGCACTGAGCAGGCACATGCCACGCTAGGCAGGGTTGGCTGCTGCTGCCTGCCCAGAGTGCGCACTGGGCAGCCCACAGATGGTGGCGGCAAACACTGCCTGGCACGGCAAATGGGGGGCTGCAGCTGCTGTCGCCATGCGCAGCCCCAACGGGTGAGCCTGGAGCTATGTGGGGCCCAGGCTGGTAGTGGGGCTGGGATACAAGGTGGTGCTGAGCATGGGATGAGGCAAACTGGCCCCTCGCCCACCCTGTGGCCAGTGCCCCACGCTGCAGCCGCTCGCAGCCCACCTGGGGCTACCTGTGCCTGCTCCAGACAGCCCCGCATGGGCTGTGAGCTGCTGCAGCAGGAAGCGCTGGCCACAGGGCTGGGAAGGGCCACTTTCCTCCTCACTGGGAAGGAGCCTGGGGAAAAGCTGAGTGTATGGGGGGGAAGGGGCCCCTCCCCCACCCTGTGGCCGGCGCTCCCTGCTGCAGCTGCTTGCAGCCTGCGTGGGTCTGTCTGGAGCAGGCACAGGCAGCCCCCGGTAGGCTGCAAGCGGCTGCAGCGCGGGGTGCTAGGCATGGGGTAGGGGAGGGGCCTCTTCCTGCCCCCGTGTTCAGCTTTTCCCCAGGCCACTTTTCCCCAGGCTCCTTCCCTATCTGGGGTCCTTCCCTGCCCTTCCCGCCCTCCCTTCTCTCTTACCTGAGGTTCTGGCGCAAGGTAGCCACCTGGTCCCAGGCCAGAAGCCCCAGGCGGGGCTTCTGGCTGGGTCCTACTGCCCTTGGTTCCAGTCATTTTTGGCAGGAACCAAGGGCAGAGAATTACTAATTTTCTAAATTTTTTAGGGGCCCACCTGTGCTCTAACCCAACATCTTTGCCTGAATAGAGCCCCAACCCCACCTACAATCTCCTCTGCTTACAACTAATGCAAAACCTTTTCAGTGTCATTGTTGATCCAGTGAATTCCGTTAATCTGAATTATGATAAAAACCAGCTGGTCTTCTGTTTTTCCATTTTTGAAGGGAATTTGTATGATATTCAACGAGGTGCGTGTATAAGAGCTTATCTTCACGGAGAATTATTCTGGAATAGTTATTGCTAATTGTCAGTCAATTAACTGTCAATAATCAAAGTGATTTAAGCTTACTCAGAATAGGGGATTTTTATTCTAGAACAGTGCTTCCAAACCATTTTTGCAGCATGACCCCATTTAAACACTGGAAATTTTTTGTGACCCCATAATGATGTAGACAAGATCGAAATCCTCTCTCCCTTATGGGCAGCATGGCTAGAGTGGAGTTTGTGGGCGGGGGGGATGGAAGGAGGTAGGCTTGGAGCTCCCCACCGTGCTGTCTTCCCCTGGGTGATCTCTGCAGCCCAGCGGATGGGACCTGGCATGGGAAGGTGGGCAGGCTCAGTGCTACTGCCGGGAGGCCCACGCCAGCTGCTGCACCACCACCATGGCGAAGTTCCCCCTGCCTGCCCAGCAGCACTGGTGGCAGCAGTGCAGAGTTGTGTCCCCTACTGCTCCTGGATGGGCAGGGGGCGCCTCACCATGGTGGTGTGGCAAACATGGGAATCCCGGCAGCAGCACTGAACCTCCCCACCCTGTTCTGTCTTCCTGTGCCAGGTCCCTCCTGCTGGGTAGCAGAGGCCCTGGGGAGAGAGCAGCATGGCAGAGAGCTGTAAATCCACATTCCACATCCACCCCCACCCTGTGCACAAATCTGGGGGGGCATGTGGCTTCCCCATGCCTTCATGGGAATGTGCAGAAAAGTGGGGAGCCAGCCCTCCTGCCCCCCCTCCCACCAGATGAGCCACCCATGGCTCTATCCTGCTCCCCCAGCCAGGCTCTGCGTTCTCTCCCTGGCCCCAGGCCTCGTGTACCAGCCTGGCTAGGCAGTGGCCCCAGCCCCACTCCTGCCTCACTCCATCCCTCCCTTTCTCACCATGGGGATCTCAATTTGGCTTCCCCCCCATAGACTTACCTGGAGGGAGCTGTGGAAACTGCTTTCCAGGCTGCCCGGCTGCTATGTGCATGTGTGCATGTGCACATGTACATGCACGTGGCACCCCCTGCCTGATTGCCCTCCCCCTAGCTCCAATCAGCCCCTTATGGGGTAGAACTCTGCCAGTCTGCAGGGAGAACCCACTGTTTCCCATTTTTTCTGTGATTTTCATCACAATCAGTTGACTCTGTCAAGTGTCCTTGTAACCCCATTTTTTAACATTGTGACCCCAAGGTTGGGAGCCAGTATTCTAGTGTCCATCCAGAACTTGATCAGGAATGCTTAATTTACTTAACATTCATATTGAACTCTGGGTTAATTTTTATGTGTAGTTAGGTCTTGTCTAGCTTCTGCAGCTAATGGGTTTGTTTGCAGGTAAAATTGCTCAGCTGCAGCCTGCCTCAACTCTTGTACAGCCATTTAACAATCAGGAAATTGTTTTAACTGTAGAACAAATTGCTGGTAAATACTTTAAAGCCAATTTTCCATGCACACACTATTACTTGAAGCAAGGGAGATGAGAGGCTTCTCTTTTCTGCTGCCCGACCCAGTATTTATCACTTAAAAAATGTTAGCGTATTAAACCTCACATCCCATGTGGCAGGTAAGAATTATCAGCCCAGAACGCAGATAGTGAAAAATTGAGGCAGAGAGCTAAGAATTACTGGCAGAGGCCCAGCTGGAACTCAGCAGCTCCTTGCTCCCAGTCATGGGGGCAGACCATTAGACCAGAATGCCTCTATTCACACAGTTCTATTGGGGATAAAGGACCTGCCAGACTAGTTCAGTCTCCTGGTCCACCTATTCTAATCTCCTGTCTCTGGGTGTCACCTGTACCTGCTGTTTTAGAGGCAGGGGGCAAGAAGCTCTGCAATAGGCAGTTACCTATGACCTCCTAACTGGGAAAATGTCTTTCTGCCCCCTGTTAGAGGTTGACTAACACCTTGGGGCATGAGAGTTGTAAACCACATCTAGGTTCCAGGTTATGTTTTAATTCTCACTGTTACAATGGGCCACTTTATTGATATCACTGTCCAGTCATATTCTGAACCCTGCTAAGACCTACCAAAAGGAGGATGTGGATTATTTCCCTACAAAGGAGTTTGACCCATCTTAAAAGTAAAGTTGATGTTGTGTCCAGGAGAATCCTATTAGTTAATTCTTTCACTTTGCTTTGTAATATTTCCTGAAAAGTCAGCTCTCCTGCATCTCTAAAGGACTATACAAGCAGTCATTTAAAGGACTGGAAATATTTGCTCCTCTGAGAAGACTTTAGGAAACTCAGCCTGGCTTCCCCTAACTATAAATACCTCTGATGCTTCTCCACATACCAACTCTCACCGAATGCAAATTTCTGAGCATATGAAGGGGCACAGACACTCCCTCTGTCTTTACCCCTTTGGAAAATGAGATGGAACCTTTCAAAAGTTATTTTGTGGTCCGCTGTTACCACCCTGGATATTTTCATCTGCCCACAGGCCTGTCTTATCCTTTCCTGAATCCTGCTATGATTTTCCCAAAGGTGACTGAAGTTTATTCCCTGGCAACAGAATTTGCTGAAAGCCACTTGTGTGTCTTTACTAGTGCAAGCCATTCATGTAACTGTAATTTATGCCAGTACTTGCTTTCATGTTGAGCTGTACCATTGTAAATCACAGGGCACTTGTGGTGCAGAGCTTTGCTGTAGGTCCTGTGGTGACTAGAAGCTCAGTGACTTGGTCCTGTTTGCAACTCTACCTGTAGGACTAGTGACAGACATTCAAAAAGCCTGAGCCTGAATTGATTCAATCTTTGCAGGTTACTTTAACCTGCAGAGATTTAACCTATTTGCAAAGGGACAGATATTCACTTTTGATTCTGGAAATGTAGGCACATGCCTGCAGTAGCTCAGGCTAAAAGCCAGGAGGTGCTAGAGCGAGCCCTCCCTCCCTTTTATAGTGCTGAGCTGGGGGAGGGGTGTGGCCAGGCCCTGGCAGGGTGCTATGATTAGGGAGGGGTTTAAACTCCCACCCTGGCCTGTACAGTCCCCAGCTGAGGTGTGCCTGGAAGGGGTGGGGGAAGCAGCCCTCACCAGGCTTTTCCCCCCTTGCTGCTCAAGGGTTGAGGAGTGCTGCCAGATCCTGGCCCCTGCTAGTGCTGAGGCAAAGTGGGAGAGGTGGTAGGGAGGACTCCTTGTGTGGAGTGCATGCATCTGTTGATGATACTGAGATTTTCAGTCTCCCTCTCCCTGCTTCTTCATACTGTCTGCAGCAAACTGACAGTACTCACAGGTCCCATGCATTGCAAACCAGGTCATTTCTCACACCTCTTTGTCCCCTCTTGCACACTGACAGATCGCAACCTTTGAAACAAGCAAGCCAGCAGGGAGCTTATCAGAATACAAAGCTGATCAACCCATCAAGAAAACAAAAGCCTCTCTCTCATTAGTTCAAGCTCTTAAACAGCTTTTTCCAAGACATTTTTAAGGAAGAACAGAGGGACATTACCAGCTGACCCGTTGATTAGCTCTAAAAACACCTAAGCGGACATTGTTCTGTCTGCCTTTGTTCCAGTGAACTTGGAGACATGCTCACATAGACACCACTCAGATTAGCTAGCATGGGGGTGGCTTAGCTAGTTGCCAGTTGGGGTCCAGGCTTCTGGGGTCCCTACTGTGGGAGAAGGGGGATCCCTGCTTGAGCAGTGAGCTGTGAAGGGGGTAGGGGCAGGGGAAAGCCACTTAGATGCTGCTATGCCTGCAATCTACGCCTCCTCAGCCAGTCACAGCTCTGGCTAGGGAGGAAAGGGGTGGGGCCAGCCCTGCTCTCTGGAGCAGATGGCACAGGCCAGCCCAGGGCTGAAAAGCATGCTGAGATGCTGGGGGACTCTGATTTAACTTGAACCAGGAAGGGGTATGGGACAGAAGTTCCATAAACCAGTTTGACCCAAATCATTCAACCAGGTTTATCTTAAATTAGTTTTGGTCATTTTGAAACTGGTTTATGTGCACTGAACTTCTGTTCTGTTACAGGTTTAAACCAGTTTCTGATCACTTAAACTGATTTATATGTAACTTCTGTCCCTAGCCTAGGTGTGCAGAGGGAAGGTCTAATAATGCCCTCCTAGGAAAACTAGTCTGTTCAAATATAGTCAGTGATGCTTATTCAGGAATGGACTGAGACTGTAGTGAGACTGCAGGAGACCTGAATATCCCCTCAGTTGGGTGTCTAATGAATTTGGCTTCAGGATGGTTGTTTTGTTGATTGGTGGAAAAGCTCTTCCATTGTGCATACCCTGCATAGGTAGATTCTTGAGGGGGTGGGTACAGTGATTTTACCTCCAACCCCCTTTGATTCCCGGTCCACCCAAAGTTTAAATTTAACTGCCTGGCAGTGGCAGCAGCATTTATATTCAGGAAGCAGTAAGTCACTTGACTTCATGGCTCATATTAACCTATCTGATTTCTTCTAAACTCTTCATTTCACAGGTGCTAATGACCCTTTCTCCTTTTTAATGATCTTGACGTTCCAGTAATCAACCTGTCCTTTCTTCTGCAGTTCTGCTGCATGTTAGCTGCTTGGGGTAATGTGACTGTTTCCCAGCCCTGCAGACTGTTTCTAATTTCAGCTAAAAACATTAACTCAGGTATTGAAATAACTTTTAGTGAAGCATTGGATGTACTGCCAAGATGCTCAAGAAGGCTAGATTTTGTTTTATAAATATGAAAAAGTGGTATACATTTAATTCTAATGACTACAGGACTAGTGGAACAATATTTTATTGTTTTTTTTGCCTAGCTTGTTGTGTTCTTTATACATAATATATGATACAGCAAAGTAATGCACATTCCGATAAAGTTCAATCTGTTTTTGCTTCAATCTTAAACTCGCTAATATAGCCCTAGGCCTCTGGATTATTAGTGATGTTTCTAGTTAGTTATTTTTTAGCTGTAGAGAAAAATTTGTGTTGTGTTATGTCATGAAGGACCACACCGTCTGCACCCTTCTCTCCAAAATCCTAGTTCTGTCCATGTTCTGCCCCCAACACTAACTTAATTAAAGATAGCTAGTTAGCTGTGTTAGACTGGAGTTAAGCAGAAGGCGGGAAAGAATGGCATCACTAACTCATTCAGAGAGGCATTAGCTTCCATGAGCTACAGCTGTAGCCTATGAAAGCTCATGCCGCTCCAAATGAGTTAGCCTATAAGGTGCCACCTTGCCTTGTCTTCTGCTTAAAGATGAGAGCAAACCAGATCTCGTAACTGAAATGCCCCGAAGGTGCAAGCATGTTCAAAACCAGACCTGGATCTGAATTTCACCTGATTTCTCTCTGTTGTAGGTCAGAACAAATCCCTAGCTCCAAGCCCCTCCCCCAACCAAAGGCGCACTTGAAGTCTGGATCCAAACACAGAAGTGCTTGATATATCACAGCGGTGCTACCACATTTTATATGTTGATTTTTCATCACTTACACTATATATGTTTTCTCCTGTCATGTGGTTAGTCCATGAATTTCAGTGATATACAGTGCCTATCTATTTTTCCCCTTGCTGCCAGAGGCCACAGATGACCAATCACAGGCTCATTAATTTTGATCTGACTTGTGTCTAGCTACTCACATGACCACTGAAATAACATTAAATGAACAGAGATCAAGAGATGGGGAAACTGCTCCTCATCATACCACCCATTCATGGTGCAGCTTCCAACATAAAGTCCTTCTGAGTTTTCAGGAATGTTTCCACTGACTCCAGTGGGCTTGAGATGAAGGCTCACTCCCCACATGTTGCACTGGTGCCTTCATTGTGGAAAAAAAGCCTCCTGGAACTCCTGAACTGTGGATGCTAATCCTTTGGGCAGCAAAAGGAGCATCTCTGACCATAAAAATGGCTGTGTCCTTAACCTCTCTTTCTTATATGATCAACCTCCTTGGTTTTGGGGTTCAGTGCATTGTGTGAATCCTTTCTCTTGGCCTCTGCATTAAGATTCCACAGAGTCCTCAGGCCTTCGTGTCATCTAGGAAATGACTCTGAGTAGACGCCTTTGCCACCAAGACAGATGCCATGTTTGTTCTACTGCCTCATTTGGATTGGGATAGAAAATACCAAGTCACTTCATAGAGAGGAGCCATGCACCTGATAGAACAATTTAAATCTATGAAATCTTCTACATACTTCACCAAAGATGATGACTGGCAGAATACCAGTGTGGTTTTTTTGTTTTTTTAGAAGGATTTAGCACCAATGATTAAACTATGTCCAAATAAGTGATCCCTGTCTTAGTGGAAATGAGATCACAGAATCATAGAAGTGGGGTCGGAAGGGACCTTGTAGATC